ATTATATTATATATATATATCGGTCAGAGCATAGCACCCATTTGACACGTGAGCGTGCACACACATATGCCTGTACATGTACATATATGTATATATATATATATATAAACATAGGTATATGGGCACGAAATGAAGATGTACAGTGGGGCCAACCTCGCACCCATGTACTACTTCACATGACCGTCCACTCACCTCTTATTAACATACACGCACGAAAACACAAAAATAAAAGACGACAAAACACCTCCATTGAAGATTACGCATGGACCGAATAAAGGTCTTCTTCCCACCCCCTACCCCCTCCTTCTCCTCTCTTTGCCCCTCTGGCGCGTGTGCACACAACCACATGTGGACTCACAATCGACGGGCACACCTGTACACATCAGGGAAGGAAAAAAAGAAAAAAATGCTAGCAAAATAAAGCAAAAGAAAAAAAAAAGGAATCTTCTTACAAGAAGCGGGAGCTAAAAACATTGAGGGTAAAAATCAGAAAAAAAAATATGTACAAAGAAAAAAAAGGGAAAACAGGAAAGAAAACAAAAAGCAATAGTTTTTTTTTTTTTGTGCTCCCCTGATGCAACATTTTTCACCCGTATCCTCTCTTTTCATCCTCCCTGTTTGCTTTGCTCCTTCTCCCCATTAATTATTGACTGACGGTGTTTTCTTCGCCTCTCCTAGGCGTCGACACTACCAATTTGCGGTTGTCTCTCTCGCTCTTTGCATGCGCTCGTTTGCTGCCTTCAGTCTTCCTCAGCTATGCCGCGAAAACCATCGTCCCACCCTTCCCTTCGCTGCCTCGCTCCTACTTCCATCCCCGCCCACTCGCAACGCCTTATCCGCGCGGTCGACATTCAGGCAGCGTTTGTTGGGGAAACTGCGGTGCAACCCTCACCCCCAATCTCCCCAACGCGCACACACACACACACACAAATGCGCGCCCACGTAAAGTGTGCCAAGAGAGGGGAGGGGGAGTGAAAGAAAGGGAGGGGGGAGAAGCAGTAATAGAAGTGGAGACTAAAAAAGGACGATACAGCAAACTAAAATAAATACCACCGCCCAGCTCATTTCGTCACCTGCAGGTGGTGTGAATGCCAAAAGACGACGATGACACAAATCGTGGAAAAAAAAAAATTGCTGCGTACTCTCTCTCTCTCTCTCTCACACACACTTATTTTCACTCATACATACGGGCTAATTCCAAATAAAATAAAAACATCTTGACATACATATGCATAACTGAAACAAAAAACGGAATAAACAGAAGAACGAAAAAAAAAAAAAAAACATCTTCTTATTGGGCCCATTGTATCAAAAAGGTGACAGTTTGGACTACACGCCATGCATCCAGGCATAAACTCCGTTTGTTGCACCGTCGAATTGCGGTAAGGCCTTTGGACAAATATCTACCGTGGGCCCACCACTACTAATACTACTGCCCACAGTTCTTCCTCCCCCAAGACAACCGCTTCCGGCTGAGCTTAGAGCAACAGTTGAAACCATGTTACAGCTTCCAGAAGGAACAAAAGTGTACGGAACCTTTTGAAGTGTTCCACCTCCCGTTGCAGAATTTGGCTGAGACACTGAGGGTGCATTTGCCTGCATCACCGCCTGTACAGCGCGTTGCTGCTGGGAGCCCAACGTTTTGATGACACTCAAAAAAGAACTGTCGTACACAGATTGAACTGGTGCAGCCTCACTCGCACCACGAGGTAAGAACAACAAAGTTCCCATCGCATACGGTTCCTCAAGCAACGGTGACGGGGCAATTGAAAAAGTATGCGGTGAAGACACTCGCTGAGTAATAAGCGAAAGTACCGGAGAAAGAAAACCAGTGAGTTGTTCCTGCGTCAATGTTGTGTTGTTGGTAGCATTGTTATTTCCATCAGATAACTGTTGTGGTGGAGTTGTTCCATTCAATGGTTGAGTGCTAGCTGGAATGAAACCGTAACTAGTGGAGTAGCCTGGCGCCTGCAACATTTGCACAAGCCCCTGTAGATTGCCTTCCGTTTGATCACAATGAGGTGCTGGAGCCGGAGTCTGTTGATGACCGTTCGTAGCCACTGGAGTCATGATGCCAGTCACCCCAACCACACCTGTCGATATACCGTTCTCTTGACATGAAATTGGTGATACAGGAGTGAAAGGTGCACCATTATGGGGATTGTGAAGGGGCATCTGACCTATCCCACTTGGGAAAACGTGTGGAACAGCCACATGGGGTAGCCAGTTTAATTGGTTCACTGGCACACCATGATTTTCCGCCACGTGACAGATAATGTTACTGTTATGATTGTAGTTTTTCTCTCCATTATTATTTTGGTTTGTGTTGGCCTTGTGGTAAGTCGCATTTAGTGAGGAATTTGCTGTCGCTCCTCGGGTCTCCGTAGCTGCCTTTGGCGCCCGCTTAAAAGACCCCTGACAATTTGGATCAACGTAGATGACATGAACGAAGTTACAGCCCTCCGCCGCATAGCATGTCTGCCTGGAATCATAATACTTGCAGCGTATCAACGGCTCTGCATTCTCTTGATGTGCAAGTGCTCCACATGTTAAGAGAATACGTTCACTGGGGAAAGTCTCCACGGTGCACATATCACTGGAGAGGACTTCCAAGCGTTCACCTGGCGGCAACCGTGTGTAGGTGCACAACTTCTCATTCTGCCAGATGTAGTTGACATGAATTGGAAACGCTTCCAGCATCCCGACATCCACATCGGCGTGCACAAACTTGCAGTTGTTGCCCATTTTACACGAATCCGCTTCAAAAGGCCGATAGTTACGACAAAAGACTAATCGGGTGATGTTAAGCCTTGCAGAAGGCACATGCACAACCAACTGAGAGGGCACTTCGTAAAAGTACTTGAACTCTGCATCATAGACCCCCGTTATATCCGCCGCCGTGGTGTCCTGGTTGCGTTTCCTGCGACTGGAAGGAAGGTTCCTATCGGACAACATCTCGTTGCTCTGGTTCCACTGACCCCATATTTCATCAATATCCCGCATCGAAAATTCTGTGATATCCATTTCATCCAGGCTCATGTTTTCCCTTCGTTCACTCGCTCCCTCTCCCACAGTCACTCCCGCTGTTGCAAAACCTCAGCGACAATCCACACCTACGCAGGGTTCCCTGTGTCTTTACGCCCTGGTCTTCTTCTTGCTGGTTTCTTCTCAAGACGGCAGTGCCGCGTTGTCTCCCACCACTTCCCTTCTGGGGGCGACAGAGCGTGTATATATATATATATAAATAAATATAAATAAATATATGTATATGTATTCACGTGAGCACCTCTCAGACTGGTTCTCTCCCACCGTTCCTGTGGTATTTTTTTTTTTGCTTTGCTTTATAGGGTATGTGTGTGCGTGTGTGTTGTTGTTGTTGTTGCTTTTTCTTTATTTCTTTCTTTCCTTTTCTTTTTTATTCGTACTTTCTTGTTTGGCTTCGACTCCGTTCCGCCACCCCATTGCGCGCGTTAATACAAAAAAAAAAAAAAAAAAAGAGATACCGCCAAAGCAGGCAGACGCGTACACACACACATAAACACAGGCAGAAGTCAGAAGTACGGTAACCAAAGAACCAAACAAACAAGAACAGGACGAAACACAACAAATCGAACTAAATCATGTAAATATCATCTTTCGGTTCTTCCGCACAATATGGAAACCTAATAAAAAACAAGCAAGTCATTTTTTTAAGTGAACAGGGGCAGTAAACAATAAAAACAAAACATTCCGGGGGATTATAACTTCACAGATGCACCTCCCTTGATTCCTTCTTCCACTCTGGTGGGGACATGCAGAAAAAAAAAAAAATCAATCCGGGCTATTCCGCTCGTGTCCTCACTTCTCATTTAGGGTCATGAAAATGCCTACAAAAATGAGCCAAAACGACACAACTAAGCCCATCACCAACATCTACCCCGTCTTCCTTCCGCCGCCGTTCTTCTCAAGTAAACCAAAGGAGCAAAAAGAGCCTCCGGATTAGGAAAAATATTTCCCCATTTTTTTTTTTTTGAAAAAACAAAGGGGGGGAAAAAAAAGAAAGCGAAGGAAGAAGAAAAATAAAAACAGAGGAAAAAGCAATAACATTTAGCCTACAAGGCACTTCCACCTCCCCGCCACGTCAAAAAAAAAAAAAAACGTAGCATCAGTAGATATGCGCCTGGGCAAAAAGGAAAAAAGAAATAAAGAACATTTGTACATACCTAAACCCCATGCCCGCACGCTGTCACATGAATTACAAACAAACAATTGACTATGGTGTGGACGCAGGTAAGAGAGGAAAAAAAAAAAAACCAAATTTGCCCTCCTTCCACACACGCGCACAAAAATACGTTTCCCTCCCCTCCCCTCCCCTTCCAAATGTTGATGCTGCCGTGGCAGATCCATGTTTTGCTTCAACCTCCGCTGAGGGCGTCACCAAAAACACGACGCGAACTGCACAGTCACTCAAACTCCAACCCAGAAGAACAAACTTAGGAGGAGCAGGCTGACCTTATGAGCAATAACGACAACCATAAAACCCGGCAAGCCCCTGCCAAATAAAAAACAAAATGAATAAAAAACACCACTAGCAGGGTATGGGAAACAAAAAAAAAACATGCGTCTTAACCAACCCATTCCTCTCCCTGTCCAATTCAAAATGTCGGGCACAATGGACCAAACCGTAGTCCTCGCATGTATGCTTACGCCCCATAAACTGGTTGTCTCCCAAATAAATCCATCAACAATAGTAATTCACAATATACGTTTTAATGTTAACCGGGCTCGTTGGAAAGCTATGAAGTGGTCGCCGTTAGTGCCCCACAACTGCCGGAAACCTCCATGTGGAGACTGCTAGTACAATTGGTCGGGGTTATTGGGTGGGGAAAGATAAAAACAAAACACGGTGTGCACGCGCACCACATTCCAACGCGGTATCGTTAACAACACAAGTAATAGGCAAAAAAGAAAAAAAAACAGGGATATCTTAAACAAGAAAGTCACGCGTTTACTTAGTATCATATTTTGGTCGCACCTTCCCTTCACTAGTTTCCACAATAAGATAGCAGGCAAGGCGAAAGCGGTGTCTGCCAACAAAAACAAGACAAGAAAAACGTGTCCACCTCAATCAAATGCAAGGGCATAACAACCACAAAAACGATACATACGTCTGTAGCCAAGCACCTGATGTCTGTATACATCACAGCATAGAAGTCACATTTGTAGAAGGTGCGAATGAACATGAATGTGTATAAAAAAAAAAATGGTTTCTCCACATGCACCAATAAAAACAACCCAAAGTGCACCTCGATGAAGACAGAGCATTCATACATACACAGACACAAAAAAAAAGGAAAGGGATGAAATAAAGGCAGAAATGGTGGGTGTATTAAGGCAAAAAAAAAAGGGAGAGTGTGTTAGCCACTGCATCAAGATGCACCAAAAGGGGAAAAAGCTCAACGACCTCTACAAAAAATTGGTA